ACCCCCACCCCAGGCCGAGCCACCTTCGAAGAGGGAAGGTGGTCTGAGGCCCCTGGGCTGGCTTCAGACCCAACCTCTGGTCCTCCCGTCTCCCCTGGGCATTCCCAGATGCCTTTCCTGCTCCCCTGAGGCTGGCCCCCCGAGTGTCCCCACACCTACCAGGGGGTGCTGAGCTCCATCCCGTCGGGGAGCAGAAGCTGGGGGCAGGACATCGCCAGGTGAGTTCCTGCCCCTCCCGCTGGGGACACACACCCTCGGACCCCCAGCCAGGCACCTGGCAGGCACGAGTCCTGGGCAGTGAGGAGCTTGTCTCCAGGCTGCCCCCAGCCAGACACCAAGGTCCTGGCACCCTCCTGAGGCCAAACCAGGGAGTGCAGCGGCCAGGGTGGGACCAGAGAACGCCACCAGGAGCAGCAGGACACACGCGCCTTCAGCAGATCTTTCTGGAGCACCTACCTAGTGCCAGGCGCTGCCCAAGGCTCTGAGAATGAGACGGAGCCCCTGGGCCATGAAGCTGGCTTTGGCTACCTCCCCGTGTACTGAAAGGCTGTCGGAAAACGTCCTCAGAAGGACGCCTGCCAGCCACTCCCTCCCCAGCGTCAGGAAAACCCCGGAAACTGTCACTTGCCCCTGCTGGCTTAGGCCGGTCTCCCCAGAAGGCAGAGCCTGTGCGGGCTTATTGTGGGGAGAGGTCCCCGGAGCAGGAGGAGGGACGGGGAGAGTGGGGTGGCAGGAGGATGAGCCTGCGTGCCCAGGTCAGAGCGTCCGATCTAACTGAGTCAGTAAATCCGCTCTGTCTCACTGGGGTTTCTGCGGCTGCCGGTCAAAATGGTCCCGGCAAATGCAAATGGGAGAGAGAGGACTCGGAGGGCGCCCTGCCCCCTGCGGTGTGGGGGGCACCTGTGGCCCCATGGATGCCAGCGGAGTGTGGGACCACGGTGCTGCTACACCTGCAGCCTGTCACAGCCGGAGCAGGTCTAGGCAGAGGCCACCAGGCACGTCCCAGGGGCCAGGACAGGAAACCGAACTGGAAAGAAGCGGTTAGAGAGCAGCCAGTGTACCTACCCGCCCCCCCAACACACACACACACCCCTTAAATAACTGCTTAAATCTGCCTTGACCCCGCCCCACGAAGGACTCGAAGGTAGAGAAAAGCATTTGGTAACACTGGCCTCTCTTCGCTGAGTACTTTTGTGAGGCATGTTCACTAGAAATCATTGCCAATCGAAAGCCAGACATTCCAAAGCCAGGGCAGCGGGGCGTCACGGCGCGTGTTGGCAACAAGTGACTTATTTTATCATGTACGTTGTAGACCCAGCATAAGCCTCCCGGACTGGTGTGCTTCCCCTGGCTGGAACCCGGCGGAGGCAGGGGCCACACCCTTAGTGTGACAGGTGGCTGCAAGGAGCCTGGGCCCCCAGGACCCCAGAGTGGACACCAGCCCCGTTCACATGTCTTGGGCTTTTACCTGAGCGAGAAACCCTTCTAGCTCGTTTCCGTTTCCGCTGCTGCTACTTGGACACTTTGTAACCTCGGCTGAACTGACACCTAATTAATACACAACCTGGAGCAAGAATGCGACTACAGAGAAGCAGGAAGTGGTTAAAAGGATTTTCTTTTTCAGCCTCAGAGAGTGAATGCTTCCGTAAACAACCTCTTTAAAATAAAATTTTTAAAAAGCAACTCCTGTGCAGCCAAACCAAATACCTGTTGAGCAAATATTTAAAGACTTGGTTGGAAGGGGAAGCAAATGACACGTTCAGCCTACCTGTGGCCACATCTCACAGCCCAACCCTCGACATTAATAAAAGAGTTTCCTGCCTTAAGGTATTTTGTGCCAATATTATACAGCCATTAGGCCTATGAAAAGGCACTCCGCGTCCTCAGTCATCGGGGAAATGCAAGTGAAACCACAGCCCACATGGGAAGGCCTGCAGCATTGACCATTGCACGTGTTAACAAGGACGTGGATCAACTGCGTTGCTGGTGGGAGTGCTGAAATGGTTCGGCCACTTTAGAAACCTGTCTGCATTATTAGCTACTAACGCTCACTCCTAGGTGAAGGTTAATTTGATGTGTCAACTTGGGTGGCCACAGTATCCAGAGAGGAAGGGAGCGGGAGAGAGAGAGAAACATTGATTGGTTGCCTCCTGGATGTACCCCAACAACCGGGGACCAACCCACAACCTGGGCATGCGCCCTGACTGGGAATCAAACCGGTGACCTTTTGGTGCACAGGACGACGCTCAACCAACTGAGCCACACTGGCCAGGGCTGTGAAGGTACTTCTTAGCTGCTGACACTAGCATTTCCGTCTGTGGACCGTGAGGAGCGCAGGTTACCCTGCATAAGGGTGGGGGAGCGTGAAGGAGTTGTGCTGGAAAACTCATTATGGGAACGTGGGGTGGCTGCTCCGCCACACGGGGTCCACAGTCAGAAATCGAGGTCATTAAAGGAAAGACGCCTGTGGAAGGATGTGCCTTTGTCCCAAGCGCTGACCATCACCCCTGCTGCGCGGCCTCAGGGACCTCAAACCTCAACCAGGAAACCTGGAAAACAAGCTCATTAAGACTCACCAGCACAAACCAAAAAACAAAACAAAACAAAAAAAGCAAAAATAAACTCAGAGCATCTGCCTCGTGAGCCTTGGAATCCACTCCCCTTTGTCCCACACTGGACAGATGGTGTCCCTTGCTGCCCAATAAATTACCTCACCATTCAGCTGCTTAAAACAACAAGCAGCCCTCGCCGGTTTGGCGCAGTGGACAGAGCGTCAGCCTGCAGACTGAAGGGTCCCAGGTTCCATCCCAGCCAAGGGCACATGCCTGGGCTGTGGGCTCCATCCCCAGTGGGGGGTGTGCAGGAGGCAGCTGATCAGTGATTCTCTCTCATCATGGATGTTTCCATCTCTCTCTCCCTTCCTCTCTGAAGTCAATAAAGAAGCAAAATTTTTAAAATACAAGCATTTATCATCTCAGTTTCTGAGTCAGAACTTGGGGAGGGGTTTGGCGGGGGGTTGCCCAGGGTTTCTGTTTTATTAACAGTAGGCGTGGCAAGGCCAACAGGTCAGGGCGGGGCGGTCCCTCCAGGGTCAGCAAAGCCCCAGATGTTAAAGCAGCCTCTTGAACAGAAAAGAAAGCCGCATCGCAGTGCTGCTCCTGGCGTCTGGCCAGATGTTGCTGTCTGTCGGGGACAAGCCGGGCAGGACTCTGAGGACCCAGCTGTGCTCACGGGCTCGCCCCTGGGACCAGGCGCTGGGTCTGGGGCCGGCGCTCCGTGAGTGGCCCGGCTCGGGCCGCACGTGTCTGGAGGACAGGGCCTTCCCAGCAGGAGACCACGGGGTCTGTGGGGTCTGGAGCGGAGTGGCCATCCCGGATCGCAGCCCCGCCTTGGCTGGGTTTATGAGCCAAATTCGCAGTGGCCCTATTTTTGGAACGACAGGAAAAAAACAACTGCTTCAGACTCACAATGGTAACTTTCCACAGGTGTGGCCTAATCAGGGGGTCTAATGGAAGACTTAAGCGCACTGGGCCTGGGCGCCGCTCAAGAACAAGGCTCAGGAAAGTAAGTTGAGGGGCTGCCAACAAAACTCGCGCCTGCAGGTTTGCCCGCTGCACGCTGTCCTCCGGAGCCGGCCCAGCTGCAGGCGCACCAGCTGCCCCTCGCCCCGTCCAGAGTCTTCCGGCGGCAAGGTTTGGAGCTCAAGTTTCCTTGTCAGAAACACCTCCCAGACAAGCACTTGGCAGTTCCTGGGGGTCGCTGTCCCCCAGGTTCGGTGAGAGGAGCCTCAGTGGTGCATGCTCACCCCAACCTCGTCCCCCGCGTCTGCAGAGCTGGTGGAAGCAGGCCAGGGGTTGGACGTGACCTCTGCTCTCGTTCGAGTTGATTACCATCAGGATATTTAACATTTAACTAACATTCACGTGTTAAATGAGCACTTCCTTTGTCCAGAGCACAGTTGAGAGCATTTTCTGGGGCTGTTTGGGAAAGAAGCGAGGCTTGTCAGTCAGGCTGGGTACAAATTCCAGCAAGAAAAAAGTTTTCTTTTTTTTTTTAAGGATGTTTTTATTGATTTCAGAGAGAGGAAGGGAAAGGGAGAGGGAGATAGAAACATCAATAATGAGAGAGACTCATTGATCGACTGCCTCCTACACGCATCCTACTGGGGATCGAGCCCTCGCCAGCAGCTGCTATCCCCGTCCTTTCCACTCTAGCTCTCCTAGTAGGTGCCAAGTGCCATCCCAACCTGGCGCTCTGTATAGTGCTTAGCGGGCGCCAAACCTGGGTTTGGCTTGGGGAGAACAAAGTGGAGAAGGAGCCATCATCAATGTCATCAGAGGAATCACAGCTCAGGGGGTGGGGGTGGGGGCGGAGATAGATAGACACAAGTCTTCACTCACATACTGGTTACCATGTATCAGGCAATGTGTGGCTTAGACATCATGGGAGACACCGAAATAGGTAAGATCTGCCTCATGGTGCCTTTGTGAATATTAAATGATAAAGAATCTTGCAGGTTCCTGATAGAGTCCTAATGGACTCTTTTAATAAAGAGTAGACCTTCACCGGCAGCTCATCTGTCTTTATGTCCATCTATACATCCATCTATCCAATAATCCATCCATCCAACAACCAAACATTTGACCAGCAATCCATCAAAACATCCACCCATCCATTGATCCACCCATTCATCCAACTACCCACCCAATAAAACCATCTATCTATTCACCTTTTTACCTATTCGCCTATCCATCCATCCTTCCATCTACCAACCATTCAAACACCAATCTGTCAAATCATCCACCCATCCATCCAACCACCCACGTATCCACCCAACCATCCCGCCATCCACCTGTACGTCAACCACTGATCCACCTGGACACCCTGGACACTGGAGCTGGGACCTCAGCTTGGCTAAGTCAGGTTGGGCAAGTCAAGGGCACCCACGTGAGTGCCTTAAGATGCTGTTCATTGGACACGAGCCAGGAAGGACTTCCAAGCCAGGCTTTCTTCACCTAGAAAAGGCTTTGCTCCTCGATGGAGAATGCTCCTACCCACTACACCCTGTTGAGCGATAGCCCCCTGCTTTGGCTTCTATTTGGAACGCCCCTTTCTCACCACTTCTCACCTCTTAGGTGGTTACTCGGACATGAAGTGGGGGAAGGTGTGACCCAGGGCGCACACCTACGACCTTGAAGAGGGAGCCAAGGGCTTGCAGTGCTGCCTGGGAGGCGGTGCTGTCTGGCCTCTGGGAAGAGGTGGCCCAGGTGCAGAGGTGCTGAAGGCTGCTGAAGGCTGAGCCTCCAAATGATCGACGTGAAGGGACACATGAGCCCTTCCCGCCCTTGACCACCTGGCCCGCGCCCACTCGCCTCTCAAGCCTGGCCCTTTCTCAGACCCTCAGACCCACTCAGGGCTGTGTGGCAACTGTCCTCTGCCTTTGGGGCCCCTGCCCCTTCACTCGGCCACTCCCACATCGTGTCACTTCCACAGGCCCCGTCACAGCCCGGTCCCCTCTCCCCTCCGTGGTCTGGGGACACATGGGCACGAGAGGCAGGGGGGCTGCTGGTCACCCCCGTCCTGTTCCTGTTCGCTGAGAAGCAGGAGGGTGGAGGTCAGCAGAGGCTCAGCAGGGGGTGCCATGAGGAGGGGAGGGGAGTGGGGGGTGGAGTGAGGCTGGGGGGGGCCTGTCTTTCCACAATCCAGGAGCCTTGCTGGAGGGGTGGGGAGAGTAGGAGAACCAGGATGGACAGACAGAAAGACCACTGTGAGAGGGCCCCACGCAACAGAGGGAGGGAGGACGGAGAGATGGTCCGAGAGCCACAGACCCGCTGGACAAACGTCGGCAAGGCGGGGCTGGAGAGAGGGACTGTGGGAGAGACAGACAGAGACCACCATGAGCAGAGGGCAGACAGGGGCGTGGGCGCAGGAGGTCCGGGAGCCGGAGCCCAGGGCCAGGTGCCGGGTCTGCACAAGCCTGCGGGGCCCAGGTGCGGTGGGGCCAGCAGGAGGCTGGAGGGGGAGGGAAGGCTAGGATTGGAGCGAGGCGCTGTTTGAGCGGCCTGGGAGCTAGGAGAGATGGGATATGGGACTTGGGGCAGCCCAGGCACAGAGATGCCTGCTGGTTGGCCCCCAGCGCATGGAGGGAGGGGCAGGGACGAGAGAAGCAGGGGCCCCCGCTGCCACAAAGCCCCCTCTCGCAGGACCGGGGAGAACGGAGTGGGGCGGTGCCCCTCGGCCAGCAAGAGGGGCCAAGCCCTCGTCTCCATGGCCCTTCCTCAGGGCCCAGAGGGTGACAGCCTCCCCCCGGGGGACCCCAAGCCCTCAGAGGCCACTGCTGGGCCCAGCCAGGCCCC